CGCTACTAGGAGCAAGGACGCTACTAGGGGCTCCTGGCCTCGCTACTAGGAGCAAGGACGCCACTAGGGGCTCCTGGCCTCGCTACTAGGAGCAAGGACGCTACTAGGGGCTCCTGGCATCGCTACTAGGAGCAAGGACGCTACTAGGGGCTCCTGGAATCGCTACTAGGAGCAAGGACGCTACTAGGGGCTCCTGGCCTCGCTACTAGGAGCAAGGACGCTACTAGGGGCTCCTGGCCTTACTACTAGGAGCAATGTTCGCTACAAGTTTTCAGATGCCACACTCTGAGGACATGAAACCTGTCAAAGATGGTTCGGTTCAGGTGTATCAGGCGGACTGCATGTGCCCACGCAGAGATTGCCAGAATTTGGGGGGAACATGTATGGAGGCAGTGGTGAGACGTTCGTTGTTCTTCCAGCACCATGTGGTCTCCGGCCTTTTCGTTGAAAGCCACTGAGTTGACATTATTGGTATTTGTTTATTGTTTCTAATAGCGAACCTTGTTACTAGTAGTACGGCCAGGAGCCCCTAGTAGCTTCATTTATGGACTTTGATTTTTCCAAGTGCAGTTGAAAAGTCGGGGAACGAGTCTTGCCACCTTGAGCGCTGTGTTCTTGTCCAATCGTCAAAATCGGACGTGTGCGATGTGTTCGAATGAAACGGACAAAAGATGACTCGACAAATCAGAGTTCATTCGTTCGGTGTTTTGCAAGTTAGAAAAACCAGCCGGTCCTAAGGATTATTCGACTGCTACTAGGGGCTCCTGGCATCGCTACTAGGAGCAAAGGACGCTACTCGGGGCTCCTTCAGCCGGTCCTAAGGATTTGTCAGCAACTTGCTGATGCTGAACCCTTAGGCTGAAGGACACTTTGTTCACCCTGAGCCTGGATTTCAATCGATTCGACCCTTCGAACTGTGAGCCGTTGAGGCTGGGTTTTTTGCACGAACTTCACTTTCAGCACTTCGGTGCCGAAGCCTTAGCGGGAACTGGCATAAGCTTGGTTCCAAACGGCCTCCAACGTAACAGCGGCCTTTCTCGGGTTCGTTTTGGGTCTGGTTTTATGTTTTTCTTCGGGCAGCTGTTTAGAGAAGGGGTTCCAGAGGTTGAGTGGCTTGGCATGAGGTGTGTCTAGAAAGGGTTTGGGGTGGATGAAGGATAGAGGTGTCCGAATCGGCGTGAACTAATTGATGTGATAGGGAGTTCTGCACTTGGCGTTTAGTTTGTGTTTGGGTGGTGTTTGGGAGGTGCTGAAGCAGGTTTGAACTAAGCGGCTAAGCGGCTAAGCTGTTGGTTTCGCTGTCATTGCTTTTCAACGCATCGTTTGGGCCGAATGTGTCGAGTGCGTCATGGCCACCTCTCCGTCCTTCGTGTTTGGGCGGCCGCAGTGCCCAAAAGTGTCGAACGCACCGTTTGAGACCAGTGTCTTGAACTACTAGTAGCTTCTTGTTACTACTAGTAAGGCACCTGTTACTACTAGCGATACACTTGTTTCTAGTAGCTTCTTGTTACTACTAGTAAGGCACCTGTTACTACTAGCGATGCACTTGTTTCTAGTAGCTTCTTGTTACTACTAGTGTCTTGAACCCAATCGTTTTGTCGAGGCCATCGCTCTTAGGGGTTTTCCGCCGACGTTCAACGTCAGGTGAACTCTGCGTGCGTGCGCCTTGAGAAGCGAGTGAGGATGCTGCCCAACCACGAGATTGAGAAGTTGTGCCATGACGCTTGGATTCTTGAAGAACTTGCTCCTAGTAGCGATGCCAGGAGCCCCTAGTAGCTTCTTGTTCCTAGTAGCTTCTTGAAGAGCAGGGGGTGTACAAGAATATTTCAATGCAAGTGCAAAAATCAAAGCAAACAGTAAGAGTACTGAGCACTTCAAAGCTCTTTGGAAAGAGCAACTTGCCACCAAGCAGCACGCAAGCAAGTAGCACCAATCCTCCCAAATACCTATCATGGTAAGGTGCCTTTTGGGCATTCTGTGAGCAATAGCCTTGAGGTTGTTGAAGTTACTGCGGCTAAAGTTCCACCCTCTACAACATATCTTACCAACGAACATGTTCTGATTCATGCGTCAGATGAGCACCGTGCCCCCTTGCATCTCCATCTCGATCCTTCGAGACCTCAACACGGCCTTTTGGCCTTTGTTACTAGTAGTAACAAGCGCCTTACTAGTAGTAACAATGTTTGCTATTAGAATTAAACTGAATTAACTAATAGCTTCTTGTTACTAGAAGCGATGCACTTGTTCCTAGTAGCGTCCGAGAAAGCTCCGTTCGAGTCGCGATGCCAGCCCCGATCGTAGCGAACCTTGTTCCTAGAAGCGGCCTCCAACATCCGAAATACTCAATCCCTAAGAGCCCTTGTTTCTAGTAGCTTCTAGCTAGTAGTAATGGCCTCCAACCTACTAGCGATGGCCTTCAATCTAATCGCTTCCCTGCACCTAGCCAGGAGCCTCTGCACCCCCAGTAGCATCCTTGATACTAATAGTATTGGAGATTCAATCTCTGCCGTGGGCCCCAAAACCGAGAAATCAGGGTTTGCAGCGCAAGGTCTTCGGCGAGTCGGCGCACCCCGTCGGCCAAGTACCATCATTCAAAACATGTCGAACAACAGTTGTAAGAACACCCAAGCTGGAGACCAAGTATTGTACAGGTCGAATTTCTTGTGTTATTTCTGTTTTTTGGGTTTGGAACCCGCTACAAAGGTTGGAGGCCATTGCAAGTCCCAATGTTTGTTCTTGCAATCCGTCCGAGGATTGCTACACCTTGAGCAACACGCACCTATCCAGGCAAGAAGCTACTAGGGGCTCCTGGCCTAGCTACTAGGAGCAAGAGCGCTACTAGTGGCTCCTGGCATCGATACTATGAGCATTTGTACTAGTAACAAGAAGCTACTAGGGGCTCCTGGCAGCTGGGCGGCCACAATTTCAGCTTCGCTGTTCGTTTCGGTCTCTCTCAGGGTCAAGGACTTCCGGATCCGTGCAGTGGAAGGCATCAAACAGGCTCGGTCAGTGTAATGGGCCCCATGTTTGGCTGGTGCGTTCTTGTTGCCACAGGCGGAGCAAGCGCTCGCCCAAGAGAACGAGGAGGCAGATATGGCGCCTATTGACTGGTGAAGTGAGAAAGAACAAGCTTTTTGGACGGTATACCAAATCTATACATACATGTGATACTGTATGCATATGTATTTGGATTCGCACTTTTGTTATACATCATTTATTTCTTCTTTCTTCTGCAAAGGCCGTGTTCAGAGCGTTTTCCCTACGGACAACCGAGAAGAGGAACTTTCTTCAAGGCGAGACAGTTTTTTGACTATCATTTTTAAAACACTCTTTAAACTAAACCTACTTGCGATGCCCTTGTTAGTAGTAGCGATGCACTCGTTACTAGTAGAGAAGCAGAGGCATTCTGAAACCTAATTGAAAGTCTTTTCTAAAGCGTCCTTCTTCCTTCTGGAAGAGAGACGGACTATTCAAGGAGTAACAAGGGCATTGCTACTAGTAACGAGGGCTACTACTAGCTGCTAGAAGCAACTGCTGACTATACTCAGTTACTAGTAAGAGAGCTACTAGTAGCGATGCCCTTGTTACTACTAGCAAAGCACTTGTACTTTAAGAGGATCTCCCTATATCAGTCAGTTAAACTATTTAAAACTCTTTACACGAAACCTACTTGCGATGGCCTCCAACCTAAGAGCGATGGCCTTCAACCTACTTGCGATGGCCTCCAACCTAAGAGCCATGGCCTCCAACCCAATAGCAATGGCCTCCAGCCTACCAGGGATGACCTCCAACCTAATAGCGATGGGCTTCAACTTACTTGCAATGGCCTCCTACTTTCGATGGCCTCCAACCTACTAGCGGCCTCCAACCTAATAGCAATGGCCGCCAACCTGCTAGCGTCCTCCAGCCTCATCGCTACTAGGTTGGAGGCCTTTGCTATTGGGTTGAGGCCATTGCTTTTTGGTTGGAGGAACTTGTGATTAGGTTGGAGGCCATCGCTGTTAGGTTGGAGGCCATCGCTATTAGGTTGGACATGATTGTGGGCCAGCATAGCCAATCAAGGACTGGCAGCTTCAAGACCTGGTATGCAATTGGATAACGCCCAGTTGCTGACTTTTCACCTCCTTTTTTCGCAGGCTTTGCTTCCGAGGGCCAATGGTCGAAATGCGCCGAGGCAGTTTGTGGGGGGTGGCTCCTGGACGACGGGACCGGTGGGACTATGTATGGCAGAGAAGATGGCTTCTTTACATTTTATCTTCTACATATAGTAGTCCAATACGTAATGCTATATTAACATAAACTGTTAAGATTTATACTTTTTGGATGTAACACTTTGTTTATACACTGTGCCATGCTACGTGCCGCTTGTATGCCGCTTGACCAAACAAGGTGTTGCTAGGGCTAGGGCCAGGGTCAGAAGACAAACCCATCTTGAGCTAATTGAACTGTGTAGGAACACCCGTAGCACAGAAAGGCTTGCAGCTACAGTTCTCAAGTCTCAACTTTAAGACTTTAAGATCTCGATGTCAACTAGGGCATCGCTACTAGTAACAAGGGCACTAGTACTAGTAACAAGGGCATCGCTACTAGTAGCTAGAGGCTACTAGTAACAAGGGCATCGCTACTAGTTCTAGAAGTCCCCGCGATACAAATTCGCACCACTTTGAAAACGGTTGTGTATTGACCAACGATTCGTTTCATTCTCGCGCGCCAAACAGACTTCTTGACTTCAGGGTAGAAAACAACCCTCGAAAAACATATAAACACAGTTCCACTAATTTTTAAGCAAGAGTGTTTTTTATTGGATTTCCCGACTGTTTCCACTAGCAAGAGCGCTCTTTTCACGTGACGCATGAACCGTTTTCGGTGGTGCCCCGTTTTCAAGGTGGCGGAGAGCGAAGAGATCGACCCCGAGGAGGAGACACCGCTCCGGCTTGAGGAAGGCCTCGAGCCCAGCAGGCGGGAGGAGGTGAAACTATCGCTGCGAGGGCCGGCCTCCAACCTAGAAGTGATGGCCAGGAGCTCCTAGTAGCGAACCTTGCTCCTAGAAGCGATGGCCAGGAGCCCTTAGTAGTTTCTTGTTCCTAGAAGCGATGGCCTCTCTAAAGAGACATTGTTCCAAAAGACTCTTTAAAGTAGGGGTAGTCGATGCGTAGGTGTGACATGAACATGTGTGCGATCATGTGCTTGATCTTTAGCGTTTCTCTGGGCTTGTCTTGCTGGGGGTTTCCTGGGTTTCAGGGTCTCACCTTTTTAGGTTTTCAGACGTGGCTTGGCGCTTCACTTCTTTAGGATTTCTTTGGGTTGGGCTCAAGGCTTAATTTCTTTGGACTTAGGCTTCACATGGCTTCAGGAAAGCTCCAAAAAACTAGCAGTGAACAAATTTCTGCGCGGTTTGAGGCCGTCGCTATTGGGTTGGAAGCCATCGCAAGCAGGTGGGTGGCCATCGCTATTAGGTTGGAGGCCATCGCAAGTAGTGACAAAGACAGATGAAAATAGAAAAGGAAGAAAGGTGTAACATAGTTTCTTTGTGTGTGGTGTTGGTGTTAAAATGGGAAGGGCGAACGTGATGTGTAGATTGGCGAACTGACGCTGCTTTCCCAAAACAGTAGTAACAGGTGCATCGCTAGTAGTAACAGGTGCCTTACTACTAGTAACAATGTTTGCTGTTAGAATTAAATTGAAATTAAATTAACGTAAGTAATAGCTTCTTTGTTACTACTAGTAAGGCACTTGTTACTACTAGCGAGGCACTTGTTACTAGTAGCTTCCTCCCACCCCCACGGATCGCCAAAACAGCTTTCCAAATCTTCAGTGCCACTGCCAAAGATCAGTAGGAAGCAATCACCTAATAGCTTCACAACCTACTAGCGATGGCCTCCAACCTTATAGGCATGGTTCTTCGGATGGAGACTTTGTATCGTCGGTGTGCTTTGGCAACAGGTTGGGCGCTGCCGAACCTCACGCCAACCCGAAGGTTCCCGCGAATTCGCCAGCTGCATCAGAGCCGTCTGAGTCCTCACTGCTTCTTGGAGCGGAAGGAGGGATGGTTCCAGAATTATTTGTGAAGAGATGTTACTAGTAACAAGTGCCCCGCTAGTAGTAACAGGTGCCTTACTAGTAGTAACAAAAAGCTATTAATCTATTTGTGATAGTGGGAAAATTCAGCACAAAGCAGATAGGAGAGATTTGAAGACAAACATGAGCTCCGCTGCAACCAACACAGTCTCCGCTGCAACCAACTAGTAGCGATGCACTTGTTACTAGTAGCGTCCTTGTTCCTAGTAAGGCCAGGAGCCCCTAGTAGCTAATTATTGGGCGCCGTTCTTGTGTTTTTTTGGCGCCTTTTTCACAACGGCCGAGAAGTCGAGGTCGGTGAAGGATCGATGGGCCAAAGGAAAAGGAACCAAAGAGGATTGGGCAGGATCGACCTTTTTTTCGATTGTTTTTTAAATAGTTTTGTGATTCAAAAACGGTTTAAATCATATCAACACACTTTTTTCGATTCAGTAAAGCCTCACGAGCCTCCAGGAAAATGGAAACAGTGGACAGGTGAAACAGTGGACGGGTGAAACTCCGCCCGGGAGGTTTGATGCACAAAGCGAACGTCTTTGTCCTCCGATCCTACATCGCTTTGGCGGAGAGAGATCCACAGATCAGGCCCGAGTTAGTCTCTTTTTAGAAACTCGAGAGAGAGGAGAGAGAGAAGGAAGATCCGGAGTTGAAAAAGAATTAGCAGGAACCCTACTAGTAACAAAGGGCATCGCTACTGGGAGCAAGGATGCTACTAGGGGCTCCTGGCCTTACTACTAGGAGCAAGGTTCGCTACTAGTAACAAGTGCATCGCTACTAGTAACAAGTGCCTTACTAGTAGTAACAAGAAGCTACTAGGAGCAAAGGGCATCGCTACTAGGAGCAAGAAGCTACTAGGAACAAGTGCATCGCGTTCTTTTGAAGAAAACCGTCTTGAATCGATTTCAGATCGTAGGTATGTTGAGGAAGCCACTCGCGCTTTTATCGAAGCTTGGGACTACGGCAGTTTAAAGGAAGATCCCATTGTGACCCAATCCATGTTGGCGAAGGTGCGGTTCTTGGAGAAGAGTATCGAGAAGCCGTTCTTGACACACCTGACACACCTGGAAAACACTAAAAATGAAGAACAAGAAACCAGCATACTAATAGCTTCTTGTTACTACTAGTAAGGCACTTGTTACTAGTAGCGATGCACTTGTTACTAATACTGTATATTATTGTTTCTAATTCCAAAAGGAAAACAATCTGATCCAAAGCGAGGTTCGTTGCCTTTTTTTCCATCGCCACAGGTTCGAAGCCTTTTCAACCGCCACTTGCGCAAGGCCGTGACGGAAGATTTCTGGCAAAAACGGAAGAAACAGAAGCGAAAAACGCAGAAAAGGAGAGAACAAGAAATCCCACAACACTCCTGTCCACTTCACAGATTTAGGCGCTTGCATGCTTGGACTTTCAATCTGTTGATGATCTCCGTGCTGCTGTCCAAGTCTCAGCTTGTGCAAGAAGCTACTAGGGGCTCCTGGCCTTACTACTAGGAGCAAGGACGCCACGTTCGGGGCTCCTGGCACCGCTGCTAGGAGCATTCTTACTAGTAACAAGAAGCTCGTGTGAGGTCGTGTGAGGTCATTTGCTTGGCTTTTTGCAAGGCCGAGGGCAGCGGTGGATCTGGCGCTCAATTTGGGACGCTCAATGGCAGATGGTGTTCTCATTTCGAATGGCAAAGTCTGCCTGACACACCTCATACCTATAAAAAATATATAGGCGGTAGCACACCAACCTATGATGCCATCGCTTCTAGGTTGATGTAGTGTACTGTAGTTGGCGCTATTTCACTGCCCTGAGGCTTTTGGACGCCAGCATACAGAACATGATGTGCCTCGACTTGAAGTGTGATAAAGCTATTTGCTACAAACCTTCCTTCGTCTCAACCTACCAGCGATGGCCTCCAACCTAGCGTCCTTGCTCCTAGTAGCGATGCCCTTTGCTCCTAGCAACTAGTAGTATCCTCTTGCTCCTAGTAGTAAGGCCAGGAGCCCCTAGTAGCGTCCTTGCTAGTAGCAATGGCCTCCATCCTATTCTTGACTTCTTTGCCCTCTTCCATGTCCAAGGGCCGCACATTGCAAGTACTTGCTGGAAATGGCAATGGCCGTGGGTGATCGCAAAGCACGGGAGCTCAAAACACAAGGCGCAAGCGCCCCAAGGAGGAGGCCCTTTGTTACTAGTTTTTATTTTCTTGTAGCGATGCCCTTTGCTCCTAGTTTCTTGTTACTACTAGTAAGGCACTTGTTACTAGAAGCGATGCACTTGTTACTAGTAGCGAACCTTGCTCCTAGTAGTAAGGCCAGGAGCCCCTAGTAGCATCCTTGCTCCTAGTAGCGATGCCCTTTGTTACAGCAATGCTTTGCACCTTTTCTTGGCAAAGCAATGAATTGTTTTTCAGTTTCTTAAGCAGTGTGGGGTAGTCACGTCACTCATGTGATTTGCGAGATTAGAGGTGGGGAAGCTGGGCTGGGCCGGTACGCATAGTGGGGACGTCGAGTAAAGAGACGAAAAAAGGCCTTTTGAGAGAAAAACGCAAGATAAAGAAGAACCGAGGACGCTACGAACGGAGCAAAGGGCATCGCTACTAGGAGAAAGGAAGCTACGAACGGGGCTCCTGGCCTTACTACTAGTAACAAGAAGCTACTAGGGGCTCCTGGCATCGCCACTAGGAACAAGGGCCTTACTACTAGTAACAAGTGTCCGTTGGAGTCATGAGGCCTTGACAATCGCACTTGTGGCCGCCTCAGCTTCGAATCGTGGCCGGCGATGCTGTTGGTTTCAACATCTTTCATTTTGTAAAGACCCATTTGCTATTTGCTACCCAGAGCTGGACGGCTAGCTGCCTGGAGTCTTCAACTTTGTATGCGCACCTTTTGAGCTTGAGGGTCTTGATTCTATGCGGAGTTTCTGTCCTTGGAAATTTGTTTTGTCAAGTAGTGGCTGACCTTGGGGTCCTGGATTTCATGCAAGCAGAGCTTGGGAGTCTTGATTGTATAAATTGTTGGCGCAGAGACCTTGAATAGCTTGAGGTCCTTAGTTCTGTAGCTTTCAAAGGTCTTAGGATATTGAGGGTCATGATTCTGTAGTCAAGGGTTGCTGGCATGTGGCTTTGTCCAAAGATGCCCAAGAGGCATTCCAAGGCTCAGGGGAAGTAGCCTTGAATATGCCTGGCCCTGGCAAGTGGCTGCAATATGATGCAAGCAATATAGAAAATATAATTAAAGAAGTACAAGCAAAAAGTCAGACCATTTGCCTCCTCCTGGTTGGGGGTCTTGATTCAAGATTTTATCATTGGGAAACTGAGCCGATCTACGTTCAAGACTTATTCTCACGAGGATGTTTTTAACATGTTTCAACGAAACAAGTTAGGCCCTGGGTTGGAGGCCGTTGCTATTAGCAACATGCTCCTAGTAGCGCTCTTGTTTCTAGTAGTAAGGCTTAGTAAGGCCAGGAGCCCCTAGAAGCGTCCTTGCTCGTAGTAGCGATGCCCTTTGTTCCTAGTAACTTTTTGTTCCTAATTGTAACTGAAATTTTAACAATTGGGTGACAAGCTGAGGTAGAGTCCAGCCGTCTCATGGGCGAACTGCCCGAGGATGCTGGCATTCATGGGGGCGCTATATTTTTTTAAAAATAGCTTCTTGTCACTAGTAGCGAGGCACTTGTTCCTAGAAGCTTCTTGTTACTAGTAGTAAGGCACTTGTTACTACTAGCGATGCACTTATATATATATACAAATATTTTATCTTTTTCATTTTTTAAATGTATGTTTTTCTTCCCTAAGAGTGGTGGCCTGAAACCTCCGAGCGATGGCCTCCCATTATGGTTCAACTGTTTCACACTTTTCCGTTCTGCTCGTTCTTTGCCCGCGTGGAGAGAGTCTTTTTCAAAAGAATGTCGTCAGGAAACATCGTTTCTGGGCCTGTAGCCTGTAGTGATGCTCAGATACTCTCAGTCTTGTTGCGGTGTAGTTTTTAGTCACGTTTCTAGACTCAGAGCATTGCATGCTTGACACCAGGGTGCTTTGCTTTGTGCTCAGTTTGCTTCGTTTCTCCACAGGAGACTCCAGAGAAACCGACTACTTCGGTCGTTGCCGAGGAGAATGGCAACCACTTAGTGGTCTTAGTATGTGGAGGCCATCGCTACTAGTTTTTCTCCATTTGCCTTTCAGTGTTTTTGGCCTTCTCCAGCGAAGTAAGACGATTTTTGCTTGGAGGTTTGCTTTGACTTTTTGCTGTTGGCACGTTTGCAGTTGCATACCTTTAGCGCTCGAAGTACGTAGGAGGCATGCAGCTTGAAGTTAGGAGCCAGTGCAAATGGCTTTTCGAAGGAGCCAGCTGCACCTTTGGGGCAGCCAGTGCAGCTGCAGATCACTCCAGAGGATGCCAGTGCTGCAAGTCAAGTGGCTCAGATTTGTGTGTACTCATTCTTGTGCTGGGCCGGCCGACCCATGTGCATAGCTGTCTTGAAGGAGCCAGCTGCACCCTCTGACCAACCAGCAAAATTGGAGACCCCAGAGGACTCTTCCAGCCGCCAACAGTGGTAAGATACTGTACTTTTTGGAGGCCATGTACCTTGAGATTAGGGTTGTTGATTCCACTTTGCCACTTTGCTTCTGTGTAAAGACCATAAGGCCAAACATAGTACCTTAAACTTTGTTGACCCATGTGCATTTCTGTGTTTGAAGGAGCCATCTAAACCCTCTGACCAACTTTTGCCGGAGACCCGGGAGGACTCTTCCAGCAGCGAGCAGTGGCAAGTTATTCCCCAAACAGTGTGGTCACACTAGGGGTTCTTACGGTAGTGGTTAAGGGCCGGTGTCTAATCCAGGTGTCGCGCGGTCCGGGATGGCTAGTTCGCCGCTATGTACTGTACATTCATTCCCCTCGAATTCCTCGAAGTGCATCTCGACTGTGCAGTCTCGCAGAATCTGGTGGGGCGCGGAGGGTGCTTGTCACGACTCTCGTTGTGGTGCCGTGCACATTTTCGGACACGGTTGTCAGTTTTCGTGGCAGGCGCAGGGGGAACCTCGCTCACTCCCTCGCTCACCTCATCTCATCTCATCTCATCTCACTCTTTCACCACCGCCGTCGCCACGTCACGATCTCCACCTTCTTCACCACCACCACCTCTCTGGACCAGACTTTCTGCTTCTACACCTCTAGACCTCACACGGCCTCTTGCCGGGATAGTTTTTTTGGGCACATGCCTTGAGATTGGGGTTGCTGATTCCATCTTACAAACATGTAGCATCGTAATGCTTTAAAACTTGCCGGCCCATGTGCATAGCTGTCTTGAAGGAGCCAGCTGCACCCTCTGACCAACCAGCAAAATTGGAGACCCCAGAGGACTCTTCCAGCCGCCAACAGTGGTAAGATACTGTACGTTTTGGAGGCCATGTACCTTGAGATTAGGGTTGTTGATTCCACTTTGCCACTTTGCTTCTGTGTAAAGACCATAAGGCCAAACATAGTACCTTAAACTTTGTTGACCCATGTGCATGAGCCAGCAGCAATTTTCGCGAGACACCAGACAAACTGTGGACCCTTGATGTTTGCTACTGACTGTGAGGAGCTTCGATTTGAAATGCTGAGAGAGGACGATGGTGTAGGATTTTTCGATGAGAGTAGAACCTCAACCAACCTGGTATCTGAGTAGAAGATCCAGACTCATGTCTCCTGTGAACGTGGTCTAGCTGCCACTAGCTCTGAATGCAACGAGCGCAAAAGACAAACAACGAACCAGAATTCACTCTTCGTTTTTTCCTGTACACGTTCGTTTTCTCAATGTTTTCTTTGCCGTTTTCAGGACTCGTTCTGGTCATTTTCTGGTCGCTGGCTTAGTCACCTAGAGCCCTTAGCAGCAAAGGGCATCGCTACTAGGAGCAAGGACGCTACTAGGGGTTCCTGGCCTTACTACTAGGAGCAATAACCTACTAGTAACAAAGGGCATTGCTACTCGGGTCTCCTAGAGCCCTTGTATAATTAGAAATCCCGCCGCACTCGCCATATTCCTTGCCGGCCCCTCGGATTTAGACCCGTCGTTGGGCCTCATCTTGCTCGTGGCTGCGATCATATTGGCTTTGCACCTGCTGCCAGATCCGAAAGCTCAGGGAACCCGCCCTCCACACCGGTTGCTTTGAATCATTGATGCCAAGTTCCTCCCCTTCTTTGGCAGATCCTCGCGCCACGCCGCCAACTTTTTTACGCTTTTCTATGCCAAGAGCACGTCGTCAAATGCCACAGACAGCAACCTGTTGCCCGAGATATTGAATTGGTGGGAGTCTACCAGAGAGATGTCTATATATATATATAAACATTTTTTTGCTTCGCTGTGAGAGTTGCTTTCGAGTGGCGAGCACTTGGCGACAAAGCTGGGTCTCTGAAATGCTGTCGCAATGTGCAGTGCTGGTCCGCATTTCTTTATCGCAAAAACCTCGTACAGTTTGTGGGGCTGCCAGGGCAAGCTCATGGCCCAGACGCCCCGTTTTTGCCCCGTTGAAGAGAAGTCTAAAGCTCCAAGGTCCTATGCACGGTGAGTATGGCTCACACTTCTTGTAGTGAAGAATTGGGTAGCTTTTCAGTGTTCAGGTGCACTCATTGATTTGCCATTCAGTCATTTTCCCTAAAGTTGCCTGTTGAAGTCCAGCAAATACATCTTTCTATTTTCATACGTCGTTCGTTTTTACAGGACCCTGTTTCGAACGCACTGAGGTGAGCACTCAAAGGCGCTGCACAAATTCTACGCTTTCTCTTCGAGGTCGATGTATAGCACCTTTGGCCGCATGCCGGCGCGGGGGTAAACGAATGAAACAAGGACGCTACTAACCAGGAGCGAAGGGCATCACTACTAGGAGCAAGGACGCTACTAGGGGCTCCTGGCCGTACTACTAGGAGCAAGAAGCTACTAGGAGCAAAGGGCATCGGTACTAGGGGCTCCTGGCTAGAAATAAAAAAGCTTGGCTTTTTTCAAAAGCCCGCTCCTCCCCCTCCCTACTAGTAACAAGGGAAAGGAACAGATTTCTGACTGGGTGCAGGTTGCGAGGTTGATGTTCGAGGGGCGATCGCTGCAGCGAGTGAACTGCCAAGGTGATTCGGATTTGGACAGAATGCAAATTCCTTCCGAGATCAAGCTTACAGGAGGCCTGGCCTTACTACTAGGAGCAAAGGGCATCGCTACTAGGAGCAAAGGGCATCGCTACTAGGAGCGAAGGGCATCAGGGCCGCAACTCACAACAAAATTCAGTCTGATCGTTTTCTGTGGATTTAACAGATTTCAGCAATGTGTGGGGCATGAACTCGTCGACGTCATTGTTAAAGACTTTTGTGATGTGTGTCTATTTGTATTTTTGCTTGCGTTGCTTTGAACTTCTTGTGTTGGCTTTTTGTTAAAACTTTGTAGCAAGAAGCCAGTAAGTAGCAGACCATTGCCACTAGCAAATCTGCTTGTGTTCTTTATACTTTGGTGCTACTCAGTCTTCCGATCGTCGTGTCAAGCCCAGGCGATCCCTGGGAGCCTTTGGAGCCATTGAAAAAGGAGAGCCGTGGGCCAAGAGGACGCTACGAACGGAGCAAAGGGCATTCGCTACTTAGGAACAAGTGCCACGCTAGTAGTAACAGGTGCCTTACTAGTAGTAACAAGAAGCTAGTAGAAACAAGTGACATGAATCCTTGTCCTTCTTTGTTTCAGTGCTTCGCTTCGGTACCCGCTTTGCATCCGCCCACAGATCCAACGGGGTGAACAGCAAACTTTCCTGGGGTGGCACGAGCAGCCAGATGAACCTCCTAACCCCGCCAAATTCTTGAACACATCTTCCTAAGTAAGCGAATCTTGTTCAAGGGATTGTAAAAACCAGACAGTTTCTTTAGACACGTGTGCGCAAGACGTTTTCCAGACGACGTTGATGCAAGCATCCTGCCCACCCCTCCTAAAACCCCTCTTGAGGTACACATGTGTGCGCAAGACAACACGAGTGCAAGCATCGTGCCCATCCCCCCAACCGCCGCCTTGAGATAAGATGTGGACGATAAAGGAGGGTGGGTGAGTATGTAAAAACACGCGATGAACCCGCGCTCTTGCCGGACAAACTTTCCGCGTGCGAAAGCACACGCAATTCATACTAAATAAACATGATGGAAGTTGCAGTTGGGCATCTCTGTGAGACGACTCCGAGACGAGTCATGCCCGCCAGAGCGAGAGAGAGAGAGAGACAAGTGCATCGCTACTAGTAACACGGGCATCAGTCGCAAAGATGCTACTAGGAACAAGCGCATCAAGGGCATTGCTACTAGTAACAAGGGCATTACTACTACTATCACAATATAGTAGCAAAGACGCAGAAGGGCCTTACAACTACAACAACTACAACAACTACTACTACTACTCCTGCTGTTGCTGCTGCTACTGCTGCTGCTACTACGACGACGACGACTACTACTACGACTACAACTACTACTAACTACTACTACTAATTATAGCAACAAAGCTAATGAAGCAATATTTTTGCTAATACTAATACTGCTCCTACAACTGCTGCTGCTGCTTCTGCTACTAGTAGCAATGATACTATATAAAATGAATCGAATAATCAGGGCTATATACTCAATGTAGCTATGTCACGCAGACAGGTGCAGGATTTTCGTCAGCGGGACCTTTGTGGGTTTTGATGTCCGATGCAACAAAATGTCAAAGGCAGTTCCGGGGCTTGAAGACCTTGTCCTCATACCATCCACTATTGAGCAAACTTGCACTTGAAAAAGCCATTGCGAATCAGCTCCGTGAAACAATAGCACTGTGTAACAAAATCAAACCTTGCAAAAGAATTGTGAAAGAGAGGGGATGTAGCAAACCTTAGATCCCAACTGGACCCTTGTGAGTGAAATGTCCTTGTGCAAGGGCCCAGCGCAAGATCGTGGCTTGTTCCCAGCTTCATTAGAAATCTCAACACTCAACTCGTTTTCAGTTTTCAGCAAGCTTCGCCTAAAGTATAGAATCTAAAAACCAACGTCTTCACTTGGATTTTGGCAAAGAGAGAGGGAGGGGGAATGAACAAGAAACGACTAGGGGCCCTCCTGCGCTACTAGGGGCTCCTGACCTTACTACTACCGTAGGTGGACGAATTATTCAAACCCTTGCAGACTTCACCCCCCTACCCGCCATAGTTCAATGTTGGCCTGTTGGTGAAGGAGGTTGGCTTGAGTGG